CATGTCTGTAAAAACAACATTATCACATGTCTGTAAAAACAACATTATCACATGTCTGTAAAAACAACATTACCCATATGTCTGTAAAAACAAAATTACCCACATGTCTGAAAAAACAACATTATCACATGTCTGTAAAAACAACATTATCACATGTCTGTAAAAACAACATTACCCACATGTCTGTAAAAACAACATTACCCACATGTCTGTAAAAACAACATTACCCACATGTCTGCAAAAACAACATTACCCACATGTCTGTAAATACAACATTACCCACATGTCTGCAAAAACAACATTACCCACATGTCTGTAAAAACAACATTACCCACATGTCTGAAAAAAGTCTGTGCATAATTCCATACATTACAATTAATACTTCACTGCCATTAGGTTCTAGTCCTGGCAGGTTTTCCCTCTACGTGTAGCCGAGGGGATCTTACTCAGTGGTGGACTTGGGGTGAACAGTTTATCTATCTTTATTTGGCCTGACATTTGAACCCCCTTTGAGAAAACGTGCAGTGAAAGTATATGGACCTTGGCTTTTTTTATTACCATGTCTGCTGAGTTTACGAGCATTTTTTACCACTACAACACTGATCCCTCCTCTTATCTCAAGCATGCCAGACCAGATACCACATGGTCGGGAGACAGAACTCCAAAGCCTGCATTTCCCTTGAAGGCCTGTTGCTTCGACTGTAAAACGGGGTCCTCATTTTACTGTTCGTGGACTGCAACCTCGATGATGAGATGTTAGTGGTTTAACAGATACCCTTTTATTGGTTTCACTCAACTTGGGGGTGTGTGCTGTTGGTGCTCCGTATCCAATCGAATCGTGAGGCTGAGAACACAATGGGGTCCATGGGTTCTACTTGACTTGCGCTGGCATTCAGGCAAAGCATTCTGGGTAGACACGTTCATTTTAATGTGTTTTGGTACATCCCACCCAGTTTCTCAATCAACTGAATGTCAGCAGGTTTGCTTACATTGTCAGATCTACGCTAATGTTACGCCACTAGGATTATTAGCGGAGGATTTTCCGAAGCGTTGTCTTGTTCTTCACGCACTGGAACAGGCGTTGTACAATAGGAAACACCTCATATGTTTTATGCTTAGTTTTAGAGCTAACACTCCCAGCCAGGAGTGTGTATGATGTCAGTACCCTTGTCACCCAGTCACAATTTCCTGTAGCTCTCAACACAACCTTAAGTCTTTCTCCACCATCAGCCCCAGTCCTCCACCTCTCTCCACCTCTCTCCCCTCAACCCACCTCCACTTCTGCTCCATCACCGATCCACCTTTCTCATCTCCACCCATGCACTTTTCTCCACTTTTCTCCACACATTTTTCTCTGTACCACCATCCCCCCCTTGACCCTTCTCTTTCCGGTTAGTCCTGGGGCCCTGAGAGGAGGTGGTGTGTATCAAATGCCAGGTAGATAAGGAACACGTCCCATCATGCCCCGCTGTTTCCACCACTGCCCCCTGGGAGGACTGACCCGGGACTTAGGAGTGTCGTCGGCCTAAGGGTGCTAATACTGGAGTAGGATTTAGATGGGTTAGATTAACACCGGTTAGAGGGTGCTGGAGTCAACCAGCACGTCAGGAAATCACACTTATCCGTTCACTGGTGACATTGGTGTTATTGGGCTTATTGTTGTCTCTGTCTCTCATATTGGGTCACTCTTGGTTGAAACTGTTACCACATTCATGGACCCTCTGAAGCCCTTAAATGTGTCCAGCTGTTCCCGGTGTACTTCTCATTTATGTGTTGATATCAGCCATGTACTCTCATTTATGTGTTGATATCAGCCATGTACTCTCATTTATGTGTTGATATCAGCCATGTACTCTCATTTATGTGTTGATATCAGCCATGTACTCTCATTTATGTGTTGATATCAGCCATGTACTCTCATTTATGTGTTGATATCAGCCATGTACTCTCATTTATGTGTTGATATCAGCCATGTACTCTCATTTAAGTGTTAATATCATCTCGCACTTTCCTCATTTCACCTCACATTTCTCAAGAGTGACAATTTCAGTTTTGTTTGACGACTCTGGTGTGTTTTACCCCGTAGAGAGATGCTCAGAGTTAATTTGTGGTCTCTGACAGAGATCTGCATATTAAATGAAGACACATTTCAAAGCCTTGAGGTAATATAGAGTAGCCCTTTGAAGCGCCCATGGAACTGAGGACGGGTTGGCAGGGGAAGGAAGATGTAGTCCGAGGTAAGCTATAGCAAAATCGAGCTGCAGTGAAAACCCCATGCGTGCCGCTTTGAAATACTTCCCCTGTGAAACATACGGAAGGATCTCTGCGGTTCCTTCTCTCTAGTCAAGCTCTGGTGAACATGATCTATGTACCCGGGATAGAGGGTGTGCACGCGCACATGAGTGTGCGTTGAAATAAGACATGCTTTTCATCGCTTCACGTTAGACCAGCCCATTCCTCTGTGCTGTTTCTATACGGAACGCAGGCTGTGGTGACCTACTGAGGGGAATTGAAGACATGCCACTGCCTGTTTCTGACTAATGGGCCGATAGGAGGGGGTGAGAGACAGGGAACCCACATTCCACTCATAGTATGGAAAACATGGAGAGGATACTGACATTTAACAAGCCTTTAATCAAGACCAGAGTTTACATTAGTCTGCATCTTCCTGTTTGTCTAATCGTTTCTTTGTCTGTTCCTCTGTTTGTCGGCGTATAGGACTGTGTACGTTGTTGTTAAATCTCGCTCTGTATCTCCTTCTGTCTTGTCAATTTTTCTGTCTGTTTTACCTCTATCTGTCTGTCTGTCTCTGCCCGTCTGGCAATGCCAGTACAGTCAATGCTCTGAGTGTATGTGGAGGTTCTGTTCTGTTCTCTGGGGACATATGGATATTTCTCTTCCATTTCAACATTGCTGACTGACAAATAGACAAAGAATTATGGAGCAAGCAGGAATGCTATTTCCACTGCTTACCTTTCAAGCTAAGAGGGGTCAGTACTGGTCAGTCCCAGGATAGGAGAATAGGCATTGCTTGAAGTTTTGTACGGCCAGCAGTAACGATTCTTCCTGCTAGTCAAAAGGCCAAATTTCCAATGCAGTGAAGCAAACATCGCCCTGCAGAATGTTTAATCCGTTTCCTGACTCTCTATGGTGACTAAATATCTCAAGCCATTGAACATTACAGTAGTTGGGTTAAACATGTGGTCCTGGCTACATTTCCAGTCTGGCCTTTATGCCAGAATGGCCACTGAATTATCCCCAGGTTCCAACTGGCTCCTCCATCTTCTCTCCTCTCGTCGTAACAGTTCCCCAGGTCAGGACTGTAAATGAGGATGTGTTCTCAGTCAACCTAGCTGGTAAAACAAGGGTTTCACAATTAAAAACTGCATTGATCGTCACAGAGTCAAAGAGTCCAATGGTACATAACCGATCAGAAACTTGCGTTGGTCTGCACTGAGGCCCTCAGGAGGAAAATACTTTGACTCTGGGAATTCTAAGAGACCTATTTCCAACTATTCTAATACAGAAGTCCGATGGATTTTATACACATGGAAAACATTTTAGAAGATAAATCCATGTAGGCTGTCCAACTAAGTTACCCAAAGAATCCCTGGAAGGTCTAAGAGCACTACAAGAAGATGTGCTCCATAACACAATTAATGTTAGTCAAGTCATGTGAGATACTGTTGAAAAAGATACTGCACAAAAATCAGATCTTAAGTCTACCAGAACAACTACTGAAGAAGACATCTTCTGGGTCAATGAGCGCTGGACACAGACAGATATGTCTGTCCTCTACCAGAAGTCACGTTTTGAAAAAGTAAAACACTGCTTGCCATCTTTGAGTCGACTATGCATTTTGAAGAGTGCTGGAGAAAGATCCAATGGCACAAAATACCATAGCTGAATGGCAGAATAGTGATGTGCCCAGATCTCCATTATAACGTGTCACTACCAGCGTTTTAATTGTTTCTCTGTCAAAATGTAGATCAAATATCCATTGGTTCGTATATGTATGCGAAACTTTCCAGCTAATGCACATGTCATAGTCTATATACATCACGTTAGCGTGTGCCGTTAGCGTGTTCCGTGAGTGTGTGCCATAAGCGTGTGCCGTTAGCCTGTGCCGTGAGTGTGTGCCGTTAGCGTGTGCCGTTAGCGTGTGCCGTGAGTGTGTGCCATTGCCGTTAGCCTGTGCCGTTAACATGTGCCGTTAGCGTGTGCCGTTAGCGTGTGCCGTGAGTGTATGCCGCTAGCGTGTGCTGTTAGCGTGTGCCGTAAGTGTGTGCTGTTAGCGTGTGCCATTAACGTGTGCCATTTGAACCCCATCACTTGTTCGAGTGTGTTAATGGACATTAAACCAACATTAAGAATGATTGGAGTTCCAGGACATTTCTGGGTGGCTCCTGTTTATGCATTAACACTTGCTGCTATTAAACAGTGGTTTAAAATGCCAGTAGATCCGGTGTTAACTGTGTTGAGAGATGTTACACAGGAGGACATGCAACTGTACATTCCTGTTGTTTACACAACTGTGTTGGTAATGATACATTTTTCATCTTTCATCTCCCTCTCTCACTTTTCTGTCGGATTTCTCTGTCAACCTCATTCTCAGGAACAAACGTGCGCACACACACACACACACACGCACACACACACACACACACACACACACACACACACACACACACACACGCACACGCACACGCACACACACACACACGCACACGCACACGCACCACACATGCACACACACACACACACACACACACACACACACACGCACGCACATGCACACTCACACACACACACACACACATGCACACACACACACACACACACACACGCACACACATGCACACTCACACACACACACACACACACACACACGCACACACATGCACACTCACACACACACATACCAACCTCTTCTCATTCATCATCCCTCATACTTCCTTCACCCTGCGGGCAAGTGTGTCAGCCACAAGGCGCTACTTGGAGGAGTTGGTATCTCAATGGTAGAGAGCCTGCTTTGTATGTATGATGTCCTGGGTTCAATTCCCCAGCTTCTCCCTAGGTCGCTGTTGCAAATGAGAATTTGTTCTCAATCGGCCTACCTTGTTAAATAAAGGTTAAAACATTTCTTTATATTTAAATAAATGCTCCTTTCTAGGCCTTGTCGGTTGGCACTGAGGCCACCACCACCACCACCACCACTCATGTCTGCCTAATTAACAGCCTCCAAACACACAGACGCACACAAATAAACAGATATTGGTAGAGCCGGGACTTAAATGGGGAAGTGTGAAATTGTATCAACATCATGCCAAGTTGCCTTGTGGGGGGTTTGCCTACTTCATGTGGTGGGTTTGCCAACTTTATGTGGTGGGTTTGCCAACCTCTTGTGGGTTTTTTTTAACTCTGTGTGGTGGGTAAACCAACTTGTTGTGGAGGGTTTGCCAACCTCTTGTGGTTTTTTTTTAACTCTGTGTGGTGAGTAAACCAACTTGTTGTGGAGGGTTTGCCAACCTCTTGTGGCTTTTTTTTTAACTCTGTGTGGTGGGTAAACCAACTTGTTGTGGTGGGTTTGCCAACCTCTTGTGTTTTTTTTTTAACTCTGTGTGGTGAGTAAACCAACTTGTTGTGGAGGGTTTGCCAACCTCTTGTGTTTTTTTTTTAACTCTGTGTTGTGGGTAAACCAACTTGTTGTAGTGGGTAAACCAACTTGTTGTGGTGGGTTTGCCAACCTCTTGTGTTTTTTTTTAACTCTGTGTTGTGGGTAAACCAACTTGTTGTGGTGGGTTTGCCAACCTCTTGTGTTTTTTTTTTTTTTTAACTCTGTGTGGTGAATAAACCAACTTGTTGTGGAGGGTTTGCCAACTCTTGTTGTTGTTATTTTTAAACACCATTTTAGTCTAACAGTTACAAGGCAAAGGAGAGGGGATTAGTGAGCCAGTTGGAAGATGGGAATGTTGGTTTAAGGGCCTGGTGAAGTTTTGCTTGGACAACCGGGGTAACATCTCTACTCTTGCGATTAGTTCCATGTAAGGTTAGGGACCACCGAGTCAACCGTGTAATGGCCAATCCAATGCAGCCAACACAGAGCAATGTCCTCTCACCTGGGGAAATTGGGATATCATTCTAGGATGAATGGGAAGGTGGTCCTACTACTGGTACCCCAACTCTACTTACTCCAGTAGCATCTCGTCTCCTGTCCAATGCCATGTTGCGGCAGGGCGGGACTATTTTCCTTATGGCATTCTTGCTCATATGCTCATTTGTCATTCTTACAGAAACTGTCATTTGCTTACTGGTAGATCGACCCCGAAGCTTGTGGCCATTGTTTGGTTCCTGAGAGCTTGCCGAGTGCGTAGCTCCAAACACTTGTTCCAGAAACACAGTTGTCTCCTCTGGATCCACATACTCTAAAAAAAGTTGAAAAATAAATCCACACAGAGAACACTTTGTTAACCAACTGAATGTAGCTCAAATTTACAGGTGAGAATGATTTTTTTCTTCAGTTATCTCTTCCACAGGAGACATATCGCACAGCCTCTAAACCAACCTGCGTTGAAGCAAGACAGTGGCTTCTCAAGGAGGTTGGACAAGAGCTTAAAATGTATTTAAATAAAAAAAGGGCTATTATTATTTCAATTTTGCCCCTTCATAATGTCCCTTTATGTTTCAAAGCCTTTTTAACCCAGTCATTATGTTTAATCTTCAAATTCGCCTTATGCCGTAATGGATTTTCTCCATTTAGAATTTTGTGCAAAACACTTCAAATGCAACCCTTTTGGGGCCAAATAACTGTGGTTTGTGCAACTGTATTCAACGCAAATTGGTCTTCTGGCTTCCATAGAAACATCTGGTAAGGCTTGCCCCCACCTGCGAATCAGCTCTGTAAACCAGCATCTCTCTGCTACTGGATTGGAAGCGTCATAAAATGTACTGGGACAGTTCAGATTGGGTGGAGATCAGTAGAAGTGGTCTATGTGGTAGAATGCCATGTATCGATCCCGTTTATTCACGGTCGGCCTTTGTTGTGATTTTCTTGGTTTATAATGGAGCTATTGTGACCCGGACATACGCGGAGAATAGCAGAAATGTATTTTTAGTTAGATGTTTTTACCTGCACATCCATTACTTAAAGCCCAGAGTCATTTAGAACAAAAATTCCTCTGGTGTTTTTTGTCATTTTGTGAGGTTTTCGCTGGCAAGCATTTCCTTGTATCTCCGTTTTACACTTTAGTTGTGTTTGCACTAACAAATAAGCTTGAACACAGTGAATTATTTTCTTCAGTTGTCCTGACAGCTCATTTTTCAGTATGGAAACTAGGACTGCATTGGTTTCTCATGAGAGGGAAAAGTGTCTTATATCGTTAAAACCAAATTTATAATCATCATTAAAAGGCTGGAATTAATTTCTTGTGATTTTCTCATTATTAGAACCAGTTGTTGGAGCACCTGAATCCAATTTTAGCGAATGGTAAAGGTAAAGAATACACATCGTTTTTCAACACAATAAAATTGCTTTTATGATTAGTTTAATTGCATTTCGGCAATAATTACCAATAAACGGGTTGGAATTAAGCTCAAATTTCTGTGTGTTCAAATAAGCTAAAACGACAAACTTTTCCACATGCTGGACAGTGAATATAGATATCTGAAGCCATTAGATGAGTACTCTAGCATAGTTTTATATAATGGGGATTTCATGGTGACTATTGAAGTGTCAAGTTAGCACACAATCCAGTACAGAACATATGGTCTCATCTCATCTTACTCTCTCCTTTTCAAGAACATCTTATCTATATAACGCCCTCCCTAATTAAACTTAAATTAAACGTAACATTGTGCAGAAAAATTACCCGCTCTAAGTTTCGGACAGAAACTTTAACTTTACATAATTAAAAGGATGTATGAGAAATTGTACAATTAAAGCCTGTTCTGTGGAACTGCAGGCGAAAGTCATGTTTGATTCATAACCGCTCTGACGGGAGCAGCCTGGCACAAAAAAGGCATAGAAAAAAACATGAAGATTTCGCAATTACAATAAATCTATATTTCATACAATTAGAGGCATTGTGTGGCTGAAATTCCCACAGGGCGAAAGTCAGAGTGTTCTAAACTCCATATTAATATACATATCCTATTCACTTTGAATTGGCTTAGGGTGACAAAGTTGGAGAGAGGGAAAGTGTTGTATTTGTGCGTGTGTGCGCGTGCGTGCAAAGAGAGCATTGGGCCAGATTGCCTGTAAAAACAAGCCATTGTGCTCGTTACCCATGATGCTTCAGGTGCATTTAATGCTGAACTGTTGCAGAGCCTCTGACATTCCGGATGGATTATAGACCCTCCCATTCAACCCCCTGTAGACACACACACACACATACACACACAGACACACACACTTAAAACCTCCCAATAGATTTGGCAGTTGACCCTTCTTTCTTTCCCTCTCCCTGTCGTTTCTTCAACTATTCCCAGTCCCTGGTCTTCATGGATGTCTCCTTCTGTAACCTATAATGGGACCGTATTTAAACTCACCATTACAGCACAACTGATGACTTGGGGGGATGTTTCCAGATTGAGGAGTTCAATTAGCTTTTGTTTTAGCGAGACAGTTTAATATTTCCCCACTGAATAACCCCAGCAGCAGTATACCACATTTTATTAAAATTACACCTGCTGGGTGTCCCAAATGGCACTCTATGATTTTTGTAGTGCACTGATTTCCATCAGTACCAACCGACACATTGGGCAATTTGGGACACCGCTACATTTGGCTAATGCTATTACTGCATTCAGCACATAAATACGCTTCAAATGAGATGTGCCTTGGAAGACGTTACAGATTTTTTTATGTAATATATTCCTTTGGTTGGCTAAAACTTTAGGAAATTTGCTAGGGTTGTTGGCTGGGACCAAATGGTCGTAGATGGCCTCCGTTGCCACTTGTTTGAATTATATTACTGATATTAGGATATTTAATGCCCATTATTATTTAAAATATATTTTATTCGGTGAGGCTACATTAGTGTGTTAACTTGTTTGTTTCTTAATAAGTTGTATTCGTTTTGTGGCCTACACTCGTACAATTCTTACATTATTGTGCCTTATCATTCCATTGTGGTCATGCTTGTGTTTCCCCCTGTTGAGTGAGAGGCTAGAAGCCTGAAGCTAACTAGCGCGCATGGGCAGGCACACACACACACACACACTGAAAACATCCTGACACACACACTCCCCCAAATACCCTTTGAACCCGATTTATGATCTCCACCGCACCCTGTAGCCTGCACTGACCTCCTCTATAGTGTCCAGGGGGTCAACAGTAGGACACCAAGAGTGGTTAGTCAGGCCCTCAGGCCCTGGGTACCAGTCTCTTTAGCCAATGTTTCCCCTCCTGATAATAGTTGTTAGATGCTCTGCATCTAGATCTGCCGGACTATCTTAAGGCCAGGTGATTGAAGGTGCGGTGCTGGTTCTCATGGATCTCCGGTTTATGTGCTCCTCCCTGTCACTCTCCCGCCCACGACTGTGAGGCTTTTACCTCAGCCTGACACTTGAAGGTTTTTCTAACGTGACGGTGACAGCGGCCACATTGTGTTTGAATCCTGCTAATAGCATTCCGACTGTGGACTGGGATTCTGCAGACGGTTGGATGGCTAGAACATAGGACCGGGTTGCTCCGTCACACTCTTGAGAGTCCTTTATCGCTTCCCTTTCCACTGGTTTTTCAGGAATATATGCATGAGATCACAGTTCCATTTTCAGCGCTGATGACCTGGGGTTAGTTGCCGTGCTCAGGGACAAACTGATTTTACCACACTGGCACGCCGATTCAATCTAGCAAACCTCCAGTTACTGTTGCTCTAAACACCAGGTTACCATGTCATCTCTTGCACTGTTGGTTGGAAAATGTGCTCTCCTCCAACCATACCAACCATCATAAGTGCTGCCCAATGTTTCTTAGCTAAGCGAGCAGTTTGATAAGAACAGAACGAGGCGATTAGACGTGCTGTGGATTTGCTAATCCATTCATGTTTGCTGAACAAACGTCAAGAAACCGAG